GGGTGCAGGGCCGCGGCCGGAGGGCCCCTGGGTGAGCGGCGGCCCAGGCGGGTGCCCGCACTGAGCCCCGCAGCCCCTGTGTCCCGAGGGAGGGCTGGCCGTGTGCCGGTCAGCGTGGGCCTCATGGGAGGGCTCCACAGCCTAGTGGGGGGCCCTGGCCTGGGCAGCAGAGCCCCCCCGGACGGCGGGGGACCCGCCCAGCTGCACCCCTAGGCCGCGCCGGTGCCATCCTGCGGGCCGCCCCCCTCCCCTCCCCAGCCCGGCAGCGCCCGTTCTCTGCCCCAGACCCCCGCACCCAGCGGGCGCTGCGAGGCTGGACGCCTGGGCCCTGGCCGAGACCACTGCGCAAGCACCGGCGGATGTCCAGCCTCGGAGAGGCCACGGGCGGAGGCTGCGGCCAGGGCGGGGCCTCGGCCCTCCTGGAGCCCCTGCTGCTGCACCCCTGAGCCCCGCCAGGAGGGGGCCCGGGGTGCAGGGAGGGGCCGCGTGTGGGTCACTGCTCGGCTTTGGGCGACAAAAGGGGGCGAAGAGGCAAACTAGGGCAGCGGAAAGATACTCCAAGGTGGGCAAAAGTCTGGAAGCGCCGCAGGGAAGTGGAGAGTCCCCAGGAGCCTGTCGGATGTAGGGGTGCCGAACTCGCCCATGAGCGCCCCGCGGGGCCACCCTAGTGAACCCAAGCCCCCCAGCCTGAGCCCGGGTGTGACCTGCGGCCCAGGGGCCAGGCTCCACCCGCTGCCTGAGGACACCCACAGACAGGACCAGAGCTTCCCGGTCGCCGGGGGAGGGGGCGACTGATGGGCGCCTCACTTCCTCTTGTCTGCAAAGTAGCTGCTCCCCGGGTCAGCCCTGAACAGCCGCCAGCGCCCGGCGCCGCTCCAGCTCCAGGCAGCCTGGGGCCCCTGACCTCGGGTCCTCTAGGGCACAGGATGTCCGCCCCACCCGCAGGTCCCGCCTGGCCTCGCAGCCCGCACGCCGCTGCTCCCTGCTGCAGCCCATCCGTGGCAGCGCCGGGAGGGGCCGCACCCCGGCCCGCAGCGCCCGGGCTGACCGGGCGCCGGCTGTCCCGCCCCGCACTGCGGCGCTGAGGACCGGGCGCCCACCGGCCACTCACCGCGGTCTGCTCCCCAAGGACCGGGCTGAATGCTCGCGGCGCCGGCGGTGAGGGGCGTGTCGGAGGCGGGGCGGGGGCGGGGCAGCAGGTGCCACTTCCCTGGGGGTGGCTCCAGGACCCCACTGCAGATACTTAGATACTTCCTCTGCTGCCCACTGGGGCCAGCGCGAGGGCCCAGCGCTAACACAGGCCGGGGGCTCCGCGGGGTGGGGGGGGAATGGCAGGAGCTGATTCCTGAAAAGCTCACTCACCCTGGAGGCAACTGTCACCCCAGAGGCCACCCTGCACCCCCGCCCCATGGGGGCGGCCCTTGTGGCCACCGGCTGCCTGCTGACAGTCCTGTGGCCAGGCTCCTGGAGACCTCTGAGGGCTGGGCCTTCACTGCCCGCCGCCCACAAGGGACTGGGCGCCCAGCGGCCGCGCGGCCAGCACCCCGGCACCCCAGAGCCCGACCACACGGCTCCTCAGCAGTGAGCAGGGACCCCGGACCCCAGAGGGTCTCCAACCCTGCAGGAAAGCTGCCCCCGGCTGCGTCCCACCTCAGCCCAGGGCCCCAGAGGGAGGACCCCTCCATGCCTAAGCCTCACCCAGAGAGCCTGGCGGGGACCCTCCCACCGTGCCCAGCCAGCCCCAACGGGTGCCTTCTGGGGGGGGGAGGAAGGGGGAGGCTGGGAAACACCCGGCCCCAGGCGCCAGAGCAAACACAAAACACCTAAAGTGGTTCCTGGGACGAGGGCCCCGGCCGTACCCTAATGCCCCCCACCTCCCATCCTTATCACCTTCCCTGGGAGAGGGCCCAGGCCCCCCCAGCACCCTAATGTACTTCCTGGGGAGAGAGCCCAGCCCCCCCACCCTAATGCACTTGCTGGGGAGACGGCCTAGCTCCCCCCAATCTACTTGCTGGGGAGACGGCCCAGCCCCCCCCCCAATCCACTTCCCAGGGAGAGGGCTGAGGGCCAGGTACGTCCTGCCACCCCAGGTGAACCCCAGGGGCCCAATCACCTGCTGCCCCAGGCGCCCTCTGAACTTTACCAAATGGGTGGGACACCCAGAACTACCTTCCCCTCACGGGCCCTTGAACTTTACCATAGGTGGGGCACCCCAACGGCCCTGGCACCCCAACGGCCTTGGCACCACAACAGCCTTTGCCATGCAGGAGGGGGCTGGCCCTGGCACTCCAGCGGGGATGGAGTCTGGCCCTGGCACCCAAAGGCCCTCACCACGTGGGCGGAGCTGGCCCCAGCACCCGCTGCGCCCGCCCGCATTCCAGGAAGCCACCAGCATCCTGTGTTTCAGTGTGCTCTGGCCAGTGGGTCACCGCGTCCGGCAGCAGGCGGCCTGGGCTGCTCAGGGGAGCACGTCAGGACCCGCTGGGTGATCTGGCACGTGGCCGGCGGCAGTCACCACGGGGGCCAGCGGCCGGCCAGGCCAGGTCCCCAGGTCCACCCCGGCCGCCGAGGCTGGTACTGGCTATGGTACTGGCTATGAGCGGCAGCTGCCTGGGAGCGACGAGCCCCCC